CAACGTTGACTCAAGAGGCCTGGGTTCAGCTGGAGAGGCTGATCTGTAGGGTGCAGGTTGTAGGCTTTGACAGTGGCGGCAGCAGCAGTACCTGTGTCCACTTGGGGCTCCATTTGGTGCAGAGCGCTGTGAGTGCGAAGCCACTTTCTCCTAGATGTCAAAGGATGTCTCTGACAGCGGGAGGCCTAGGTAGAGACCAGTGGCAGAGTGGAGCCATAAGAACTTCCAACAAAGCAATGCCAAGTGGAAATGTAGAGTCCAGGCAAAGTACCTGCTAGGAAGGCAGCGTGTAGTGAGACCATGTGGTTGGGGGACTATGTTCAGGACCCCGGGATTGTGGAGCTATCAGCATGCCTTGCCAGCCTGGAAGAATTGCACAGCTGAGATTCCAACTGGAGAGAGCTGAAGTGTGGACTGAGCCCAGCAAGGCCAGGGAAACAAGGCTGCTGGGCACTTCGGTGTCCCAACCCCCACAGGATATCCAGGATGTGGCTCAGGAAGCCTGAACATGCTGGGCACGCAAGTGAGTGTCCAGAATCCAACAGACTGTAGGGAGGGGGATCTTGGTGTGACCAGACCTTGTGGATAGTACTTCTCCCTCCATTCCTTAAAAAAATGTAGTGAAAAGGGGTAAAAAAAAAAAAAGAGAGAGAGAGAGAGACTGAGGCTCTTAAGACTGTTGGAATGAAATGACTGTATTTTATATGTGAGAAAGACATGAAACTTAGAGTTCAGCCAATAGAATGTAATGGTTTGTTCTCTAAAGGTTCGTATTTTGGAATTTGGTTGCCAGTGATGGAGTTCGAGTGTGAGACCTACTGGGTAGCGATTGGATCATGGAGTTGAGAGAGGCCTGGTGGGTAGAGACTGGATCATAGTAGTCACTCTCAGGAATAGATTAATGATCTCGAGACCCAGTCTCAGATATTTCTGTTGGCAACACGGTAATGACTAACACAGCACTCATCAGTCTTTGAAATGATCACTCCTGAATTCAAGCTTGTAGGGAATAAGGAAAAAGAGGAGACTAGAATGGAACCAGAAGACAGGCATAGTAAGGAGAGATGTTCTAGAATCTCTGAGGATGGCAGGCTAGTAAAGAGGAAGTGAAGTCATGTAGGAAGTGGTAAAAAGAACATGGGGTAAGAAATTTCTCAGCCAGTTTCAGAGAGCCGCTGAGGGAGTTAGATTGAAATATTAGGTCATTGGGAAAGTCAGGATGTATTTTTCTATGCTAAAGTACGTCATGACTTTCCCGACAACCCAATATCATGAGGAAGAGGGGCTGGCAGGTGGAGGGTAAGTGATCACTGCTGTTTAAAGGAGACCAGGGATTTCAACCAGTAGGGTATTCCTTGGGTTTTCTACATGGATGTTGATACTTCCAGAGTGATGGATTCAGATGAGGTGAGTTGAAATACTGATTGTGCTCCCAAACGGGATTTTGGGTTTTAGAGGTGGGTGGCTAAGGTGGCTGGATGCCACATGGCCACTGTGCAGTTTGAGCCCCAGATCCGACAGGCACATGCATGTACCCAAAAGGAAGGAGAAACGGTCATGGTGTGACTGTTCTCTATGGAGGTTGCTTTTTCTCTTTTCTCTGTCTCGTCAGAATGCACATGTTTTCTGGCAAATTAAAAACATTAGGGGTGGTTTGGTTAAATGATGGAGTTTTGGCTGTGCATGTGGGAGATAGGTGGAGGTGAAGTTCGTTGGAATCCAGAAGTCCAGGAACTGTCGGGCCGAGGGAATCAGCCATGCAGCGCTGAAGCACGTGAAAAAGCAGGAGGGGTACCTGGGCTGGCAAGGAAGTGCTGAGGCAGGCTCAGCACATCTCTGCACCCCAGAAGGAGTAGTAAGTACGCAGTAGGTTGAGTGCAGGAAGCAGCTAACCTGTAGGAGAGGGGCATACACTGCTTTTGCATTCAGCTCTGTAAAATGTTGGGATTTTTTTTGATGTATAAGATTACAAAAAAGAAGGAATTTTATTAACACTGTTATCTAAATGTTAAATAAAATTTTGTGATATTACTTATGCTTCTTTGATACACAGTTAGTATGATCTAGAAACATACTACTATAATACTGAAATAGTAATGAGCATAAATGTTTTTTTTGTTTCTGTTTTGTCATAGGGCATGTGAACTCTTCGGCGAGACAGAGGGAAAGTGAGAAATTGCCCCCTAGCAGGGAATGGCTCCAACACAGTTGGTTCTCTGACATTCTCCCCTTGGGATTCTGGGCACTCATGCTCAGGTACCCAATGTGATTTTCAAACTACTGTATCTGGGATTCAAACCTTGATTAGCCATGTGGGAATTCAGCACCTTAACCTCTACCTGCTGGGCCCTCCAAATGGCCTTTTAAGATATTTGCAACAGGACCATTGAGTGTCATGGAGATGAAGGTGCTGGATCCCACATGGCCTACTGTATGGTCTTGAGTCCTGGACCTGGTGGCTGGAAAGTCATATCGTGTGTGTGCCCAAAATCCCCAGAGGAGACGAGATTGTGACATGGCCATTCCCCCAGGGAGGTGATTCCTCACTTTCCTCTTCTCTGTCTCTCTCTGGTGAGCACATGTGCCCTATAGCAAAACTTAAAAAAGGAAATGGCAGTAACTATGTGATATGAAGATAACTGTATCTTATTTAATGTTTAATTAATTTATTTTACAGTCATTTACTGAACATTATCACAGCATACAAAATGCAGTTTCCCATCCAGAAAACTGTATAGTGGCTTATTCATTCATCTTACCAACAAATAATTTTCCATTTCTTGTTATATATATTTATTTAATACACACACACACGCACACATATGTGTTTCTCATCCTCTGCCATTTCCCACTGCTCTCTCATACTATCTCTGGTATCTGCAGTTGCTTTCCATTCCTCCCCTCCCCCCCATACACGTTTTATAGATTAACAAAATATCTTAATTGATCTAACTACCTTGAATAGCAAGTTCAGCTGATAAACAAATATCTGTGAACAAATGTTTGACTTTAGGCATGAAAATCTGAAAAACATGAATATACTATAGAATAGCACCTAGCTGAGGCTATATAGCTTACTCTGATCATTAAATAGGTATTTTTAAATGTATTTCTTTAATTTCAAGAAAGGCAGTTTTAGCTTTAATAAATCAAAATCAAAAACTTTTAAAAGAACTTTGCTTAAGACTGAAAGCCAGGAAGCAGGATTCTGTTCAAATAGTAGTTACCTAGATCTGTCGACAATTCAAGAGAAGACAAAAATCCTTATCTCTGGAGTACAAAGCATAGAAAAAGATCAATACTGGATAGCTGTATCTTATTGATGAAAGTTCGAGTACAGTTTGTTACTTACATTCATAATTGAAGAAAATGTAAAATTTAGTCCAGAAATTTGCGAAAAATTCAGATACAATTTTTTCCCCATCCAAGTTCAGAGACCCTCCAAATTCTATCTAGGTCTTCTGGTTAGGAAACCTGTATTTAAAGAATAGTATATTCATAAGGCATGAACCTGAATAGAAAGAAGTGTTTTTTGCAAGAGGGAGGGCTCAGTATGGATGTGGCAGCCTAGAGCAAGGAGAATATTCCACACCTCTGGACCCATGGTGGTTCTAGGGGTCAGGAGCCTGCAGGTGGTCAGCCTGTACCTCATTGAGCAGCTTTGGGTCAAGAAGGATACAGGGGAAGGGACAGTGCCCTTTGTGGTTAAAAACTCATATTTCAAATCAAACCAAAAAAGGAGTGGGAGCTGATGCTATAGCCAAGATGTTTAGGAATGTTCAAGGACACAGTGGCAATTCCTAGGAGAGTAGGGAATACTGGAAGAGAAGTGAAGGACAGAGTAGTAATGAAGGCTTAAAGCGTTGGTCAGAGTGAAATAAACTGAGCAGGAGGCCTTGCTGAACAAGTGGAGATGAAGCCACGCTTAGGACTGGGAGGCAGGCCTTTCGGAGCCATCAGAGTAGGACAGAGCCGTTGCCTGGGTTCCCAGGAAGAATCACGCTGAGGCCATGTTGGAGGCCATGGAAGACATTTTGCTCTGTTTAAAAAATGATGGTTGTGGTAGAGAAACATCGGACTCATGTTTTTAACTTCCGATGTCTTTTTCGTTTTGTTTTGTTATGTTTTGATATGATTCTTGGGGTTTTTTGTTTGTTTGTTTGTTTTCTTTTTGTCTTTTGTCTTTTCTTCCTACTAGAGGATATAATGTATTCTATGCAGCTCATGGTAGAAACACCTGAAATCAAAGTGAGACACATAAGGGCCAGCAGGTGACATGGAGTTAAGATGCTGGATCCCACATGGCCGACTACATGGTTTGAGTCTCAGACCTGATGGCTTGAGAATCCCACTTGTCGTCTGTGTGTACATGCCCAAAATTCTAAGAGGAGAATGGAAGAGCAGGACTGCAGCGTGGCCAACCTGCCCCCAACCCGCCCGGGGGTGATCTCTCATTTCCTTCTCTCTCTGTCTCTGTCTCTCTGGGAAGCATGTACTCCCTGTAACAAAAACTGAAGAAAAGAAAGAGAGAGAGAGAGACATGATAGCAAAGTGTAAGATAGTGTTGGGGATTAGAAGAGAGGACTGGTATGATCCAGTGTTCTTCCCACCGCTTTGTTCTCATTGCTGGTGCCAAATGCACTCAACCGTATGCAAATTGTTGAGTAAAAATGAACCTAAAATAATAATTTTTTTAAAGCCAGACTCTCCATTCTGTATCAAAAGAGGATTTGAGAGTAATGGCACAGTAAAGAAAATAACAATGACACTACGTTGAAAATCATACCTTTTGGGATTAATGTATAACTAGACAGACCTCCAGTTTATGTAACTTTCAGTTACTCGAAATAGATAGAAATTGGTCATTCTGGTTGAGAAATGGGAGATGTATTAAATTTAAAATATGTTTATCTACTTTATATGTACAGTTACCATATGTGCATTTAAATGTTAATCCGTAGATTGTGTTGTGTTTTTTTTGTTTTGTTTTTGTTTTTTAGGAATTAGCTCTCCGTAGCCAGTTACCAACACTGGAGCAGGATGGTGGGACTCAAAATCCAGTATCTTCTCCCGGAATGTCTCAGGAATTGAGAACAATGACGACCAATAGCTCAGATCCCTTTCTTAACAGGTCAGTAGGAGTTGCTACTGGACAATATTTGAAAGAAGATCATTCTACTTAGCGCTTACAGTAGGCTGTTTTGAATATTGGTGTGGGCCAAAACCTGGCTGTAAATGATTCTCTCCATAAATGGCAAGTGCAGTGAAAGCCGAGGATTAAAAACTATCTCCTGCAGAAGGAAGTGAGCTGTTCAGACTTGTAGAGGGGATACTTACTCAGATCACAGCATGTTTGTTTCTGCCCGTATGGTGTTGAGTAACAGTGACTTCGAGTTACAGAACCATGAAGGAACATGTGAACGCCTTTCTGTGACAGCAAATGAACCACATCTTAAGCCTGTTTAAGGTTGCAGTACGGATCACTAAGGAATTTTCCCCCTAGATACTCAGCTGGAGAACTTTCACCCTACAGCACTGTAAGGGCTCCTGGTTTTTCAGTCTGTAGTCCATGGAGAGTAAGTTTAATGACGGCATTTGAAAATCACAGCTTAAGGATGCTTCTTAGTGACTTACCACAAGTCTTGGGTTTCAGGGAAACTGCAATATTATATGAGCTGCTTTGTTGAAAACAGAGCTGTAACAAGTCATGTACTTTGCCTATAAGTTAAGATTTGGCTAAAATTCATTCTTCTAGGTTATAAAGTATCTGTGGAATTTCGAGTTTTAAAAATACAACAATGTTTTGTGCTCTTGGGGTGATGGCAACAACAAAGCACCTTCTACTCCATTCTCCTCCTAGGATTTTGGGCATACGCACCCAGCTTGTTTTTTCAAGTGCATCAGGGACTCAGTCTGCAGAATTGACCGTGTGGGGCCCAGAGCCACCTACTGGCTCATAATGAACTTTCTTAAAAATGTAAAGGTATTTAAGTTTATGCCACCATTTCAGTTCTCACCAACTGAATCAAAATTTGATAATTTTAAGAAATGTAACTTGCCCTATTAAATATACTTACAAATGTTTCCCATCATTTGTTCAGTCTTAAAAATTAGTGCTGGTGGGGGCCAGCAGGTGGCATGGTGGTGAAGGTGATAGACTCCCACATGGCACATCGCAGTACAAGTCCCAGATGTGATGGCTTGAAAAATCACACAGCATCATGCATATGTACCCAGAATCCCAGGAGGCGAATGGAAGAGAAGGGGTTACAGTGTGGCCATCCTCCCAAGGGGGTGGTGGGGTGTTGATTTCTCATTTTCCTGCTCTCTGTCTCTGGCAGTGCACTTACCCTATGGTGAAAACCTAAAAAAAAAAAAAAAGATTAGTGCTGGTAGCCTAGTTTGTTCATTCATTTTAAAGAATTATTTTAGAGGTGACAGGTGGTGTGGTTAAAGGTAGTGGATTCCCACATGGTTGACCAAATAATTCTTTTTTTAAAAAAAAAAGAATTACCTTATTTGGCTTTATTTATTTTAATTTGATCAAAGAGGGACAAAGTAAGAGGGTGGTGGGGAGAGCAAGCCACCAGATCCTGGGACTCGAACTGCAATGGGCCATGTGGGAATCCAGTGCCTTTAACCACCATTCCACCTGCCGGCCCCCTGGTGGCACAGTTTTGAGGTTTCATTTTGAAGGCCATCTAAAATATACTGTTTGTATTTACTCTTCTGCCACATGCACAGTTGAACGTTCTGCCTAAACTTCAATGTATTTATACAGGATTGTAATTCTGAACTTAAACTGAAGCTAATTAGGAGAGGTCACAGCTATAGAACTTTTTTTCCTCCATAAGGAAAAATTCCAGATCAGTGTCATTGGAGTAGCTGTCTCATTGAAGGTCTGTGTTAATCCAGAAATAAATTCAAATTATTTAAAAAATGTATGGGCCGGGGCCAGCAGGTAGATGGTGGTTGAGGCAGCTAAATCCCAAATGACTGAGTTCATAGCTTGAGTTTCAGACCGGGCAGCTTGGAAAATGCGCTAGGTATATGTGTCTGTGGGCGCATAACCAAAATCACAGAGAAGAATGGAGGAGAAGGGATTGTGGAGTGGCCATCCCCCTTAGGGGTGATTTTTCACTTTTCTTCTCTCTCTGTCTCTGGTGAGCACAAGTGCCCTATGGCAAAAAAAAAAAAAAAAATCTGGAGAAAAAGTACAGACTACATATTCTTCTGATAGTTGTGAATGTCAAGAGTCTTTTTTTTTTTTTTAAAGAGATTTTTGCTATAGGGCACATGCGCTTGCCAGAGAGACAGAGAGAGAAAGGGAGAAATCACCTCCCGTGGGGGGTGGCTATGCCATAGTCCCTTCTCCTCCATTCTCCTCTTGGGATTTTGGGCACGCACGGTATGAATTCTAGGCTGCAGGGTCCAGGACCTGAACCATGGTTGACTACGTGGGAGTCCAGAGATATAACCATTACACCATCTGCTGGTCCTCCTGAAGAGTCTTTCTTAAAACTTCTCATGAGAGGTGGGCTACAGTTTGAAATTCTGTTCTCTGGCGGATAATCGATGACACTAGTCTAAGGGCAGGATTGCATACTCATTGACTGTAGTTCCTCTAGTCTTTATATAATCTGACTGACAGTTTTTCCTCTAAAAAATCTCTTGATGTTTTTCAATTGCTTATTATTTGATTTATTCACATTTCTGAAGATCTAAACACTTGATCCCCTAACTTGTCATGGATTTTACTGTAATGGTACAACATCCCTTTTTCTCCCTTTTATTTTGAGATCCCTCCCAGCCAGTTCAGTCGTTCCCTCCATTGAACCCTTTCCTTGTTTGTTCTACAGGGACTTTACTTACAAAATAAAACCCTTAATATGAGTTGGTAATATATTTATTCATCTTCCCTGAAGTTGCGAGCATCTCAGAGGGCATCATCAGTAGTTGTTGGCCTCAGTGTTCTCGGTGCCTACCTGGTCTCATGCCTGTCATGTAGGACCAGACCCTCTGTGAATACAGGTCAGTGAGTGGAGGTTGCAGGAGGTGGGTTCCTGCAGGGAGAAGTTCCCGTCAGGAAATGGTCCTGTAAACTGCTCCTCAGAATAGCCACGTTCTTCCCCTGGTTGGGAATGAACTCTGCACAACTCTGTAAATCCAGCCATTCAGTAACAGACTTCGAAGTCTGACCATGCTTAGCTGTGGCAGTAGCATTGGCTTGGACCAGGCTTTTGTCCCAGATCACCACAGGCAAAATAAAACAAACCACATCCTGAGGCCTTCTCATCCATGGCTGCATTGTATACACATGGTCTCAGACAAATTTGTGTTCTTTTGAATCTGGGCGAGGCTTTTGAATCTTGCCACAATCTGGCAGAAGCGTTAGAGCAAAAAACAGCGGTTGTGTTAGACAGAAGGGGAGGGAGGGAGTCAAGAGAAATGCATTAGTAACTTAGGGAAGAAATCTGCAATTTTGGGCTTTTAACCTTACAGTTGAAAGCATGATTTGAAAACATTTTTGGTTGTCTTTTTAATGTTTGTGTAAGTTGCACAGCTGCTTAAGTGCCCAAACTATGGGAAAAGTTAACACTCATTTATGTTCAGAGACCTTTAAGAACAGTAATAATTACCTTGATTTTACACTTTTCCATAAGATTTTCTAGATTAAAACTCAGAATTTTATACCTGTGTCAGCTAGTATCTTTGTGCTACGAGCTTAGGAAAATATATCTTTGAAAATAATGTTCAAAATATCGAACATTCAGAATATTTACCATACCCATATATAAATCTGGGAAACTTTTCATTTAGCCTAAAGTAAAAATTTGTCTTGACTCACAATGTTCTCGAGGGTGGTACTTGTACTGTTTCCTTCTGTTGATCTTTGCTTCAGCAGCAGCTTTATAAAGCCTCCCGTCTTGTGCTGAAGTGTTTGGGGGCCTTTTTTCCCACGAAGAGAAACATGGAGATCAAGGAAGGATCCTTATCAGCAGTGGCTCATCTGTTTTAACCCAGTCCAAAAAGAAATTCTGGTTATTTTGGGTTGATTTTTTTCCTTGGCTTAAGTTCTCTGCACGAGAGCTGGGAATTTCCCATGAGTCTAGAACAGACCTGTGTCATTGCCCACCTGGAGTTTGTGTTGGCCTGTCCCACCACCACCTAGGGAGTTGAGACCTTGGAACAAATGAGCTGTGTGTATCTTCCCCCGCCCTCCCCCCACTACCACCATGCATATAACATTAGGAAGACGTAGGACCCCTGAGAAATGCCAGCTGTAATTACGATTAACTTGTCTGTTTTATAACACAAGAGCCGTGTATGGCCCTGAAGGAGGATGCTTGTTTCAGAGATTGCAGGGCAGGAATTTTTTGCTAATTCTTTTTGAAACTTAGGTTGATACTCAGATGTTTATTTTCACCTTGACTTTTGATATTTTTATATTGGTCTTTAATTGTCGTTTTTTTGCAGTGGTACCTATCACTCTCGAGATGAGAGTACAGACAGTGGACTAAGCATGAGCAGCTACAGTGTCCCTCGAACCCCAGATGACTTCCTGAACAGCGTTGATGAGATGGATACAGGTTGGCATTCTCTATTGCTCTTAGTAACCCTTCATTCAGGCACAGCCATATGGGGTGCATGAAGAAAGTACGTATAGGGACCAGCAGTTAGCATAATGGCTATGTCACTGGACTCCCACATAGTCAACCGCGGTTCGCGTCCCGGACCCGGTGGCTTAAACTCACGCAGGGCGCGTGTGTGTGCGTGCCCAAGATCCCGAGAGGAGAATGGAGGAGAAGGGATTGCGGCATGGCCATCCTCTCTGGGGGGTGATTTCTCGCTTTCTATCTCTGTCTGTCTGGCGAGCGCACGCGCCCTATAGCAAAAACCTCTCAAAAAAAAAAGAAAGTACGTATAGATACAGTCATGAGGGGTGTGTGAAAAATATGTATTATCAGGACCAGCAGTTAGTGTAATGGCTATGTCGCTGGACTCCCATGTAGTCGACTGTGGTTCGAGTCCCGGAACCAGTGGCTTAAACTCACGCCCGGTGTGTGTGCGTGCGTGCCCAAGATCCCGAGAGGAGAATGGAGGAGAAGGGATTGCGGCATGGCCATCCTCTCTGGGGGGTGATTTCTCGCTTTCTATCTCTGTCTGTCTGGCGAGCGAACGCGCCCTAGAGCAAAAACCTCTCCAAAAAAACAAACAAACAAAAAAAACAAAAAGAAATTTTAAAAAGTACATGTTATCAATTATGCATGGATTATGGGTTTTAGAGGGCACCAAAAAAACCTGTACTTTAATTACATATTTCCATGAGCTTTTTGAAATCCCCTCTTAGCAAATCTAATAAGCTATTATCAACAAAGATTGCTGAGAAAAAAATCTATTATAATTCTGTAAATTTTAATTCATGTTTATGTTAATTGTCAAGGCAGGTGTAGGCCCTATTAGAAATCTCATATCGTTGTCAAGAAAGTCATGACATATTTTTCTATGCAAAAACACATCACGACTTTTCTACGATGCAATAGATGAAAATGTTAATTCTGGAGAGAGGTTTCTGTGACTCGTGACTCAAGTGTTTGCCTCCCTTTATTCTCGGCAGGTTTTGGTCCAATTGAGGTGTTACAGGGCTTAGGGAACTAGGTGAGAAAGACTCCGAGGCAGGCCCCTCCTACTTTATTGTTAGAATAGTGCAGGGGTGTCGCAGGAGCTAAGAAATACCTGCCTCCCTGCTCTGGCTTACCTAGTGACCACTGCCTCAGACTTGACAGTGGGCAGCATGTGAGTTGGCAGGAAAAATGAGTTCTCTTTCACTGAGGCCTTCTCTTCTGAAAGGGTTGGGCAGGTCTTTTGTGTTCACGCTGTCCTGGTCCGTGGCTTTGGTACCTAGGATCTACACTACCCGCTCCTCTCTGTTACTCTAGAACCTAAATCATCCTTTAGAGGATGCAGCAGGCCCACCTGCTGCACACCAGCTTTCCTTACTCCTGTCATCTCCCTCTTCTCCAAACCCCTATGCAACTTAACAGTGTTTATTTTTCTGAAAGAAAGCATGTTCTATTGAGGCTCTGAGATATATATTAATGTCTTCACATGCAGAAAGGTTGCTGTGGTCCCACAAGTTTGGAAAACCTAGAAGCAAGGCTAGAATATTTATTTGGGGAACTTCTAGAAGGCTTGTTTTGTTGTTATGAATGTGAATCTTCAAGAGTGGAACATTCACACGATCCTTTTTTATGTTCTCGGTAGTTGATGTAAGAAAAAGCTCTCTACCATTCATTTTCTTATTTAATCTTACTTTGCGATGTGGCTCTGGAAGACAGCAGAGTAGTGATGTTGTTGTGTAGTATACTTACTTTTTCTCCCCCTGCATATATAAATTCATGGAAGTTTTGTTTTTTTCATGACCCTCTTTAGTGTTCATCGTGCGATAATAACTATCAAGCTGTTGGGTGAATGTCTGAACAAATGTTGAAGCAAAAGTAAACTTGGCATTGTTACTTTATTATCTGTGGGTTGTTTGGACTAAAATAAATTCTGGGCATCAGTTCAGGTCAGTCAGGAGTGCTGTTCTTTCTGTGTGCATTTCCTTGTGCTAATAGATGATAGCTCTGTTACCGTTTCACAAAGGACCTTTGTTATCTCCATCCCAACAAGGTGATACTATCAACCAAAGCACCCTGCCCTCACAGCAGAGCCGTTTTCCAGACTACCTTGAAGCCATTCCTGGGACAAATGTGGACCTTGGAACACTGGAAGGAGATGGAATGAATATAGAAGGAGAGGAGCTGATGCCAAGCCTGCAGGAAGCCTTGAGTTCTGACATCCTTAATGACATGGAGTCTGTTTTGGCTGCCACCAAGCTAGATAAAGAAAGCTTTCTTACATGGTTATAGAGCCCTCAGGTAGACTGAATTCTAAATCTGTGAAGGATCTAAGGAGATAAGACATACATACCTGAAATTTCCAAATAAACCAGTTGCGTTTTTCTGGCTAATAACAGAAATGATGAACAAACGTCCAGCAAGATTTATTCATCCACTATTTTGCTCTTCTTTGTCCATTGCTGCTGTTAATGTATTGCTGACCTTTTTCACAGTTGGCTCTAAAGAATCAAAAACAAAAAAAACAAACAAAAAAAAACCTCGTGTTTCTTTTGCTATTATAACTACTGTTTGTTTGGGGGGCTGGGGAAAGTGAGCCTGTTTGGACGATGGATGCCATTCCTTTTGCCCAGTTAGATGTTCACCGATGATTTTCACGAAATACTCAAGACTTGGAAGTCGAACGCGTCTTGTCACAGCATTTAGTTTGTTCAGGCGATTGTTTCTTCGGCTGCCTTTGGCCAGTGGGAAAACATGACTTACTGGTCTGACAAGCCAAAAATGTTGTATTTGATATTAAGTACTTAATGCTGATTTGAAGAGATAGCTGAAACCAAGGCTGAAGACTGTTTTACTTTCATTGTTTTTTTTTTTTTTCTCTCCTCTCCTAGTGCTATCATTAGTCACATAGTGACCTTGATTTTTATTTTAGGAGCTTATAAGGCATGAGACAATTTCCATAGAAATATATTAATTATTGCCACATACTCTAGTATAGGTTTTGGTGGATATTTTTGTGGGTGTTGTTTTTTTTTTTTGTTTTTTTGTTTTTTTTCCTTTGGTTGGTTGGTTTTGGCAGAACCTAGTCAAGTTACGGTATTAGTGAATCTGTTTATAATTGTAGCTTGGGACAGTTACTATAGTTCTTTTGGTAAATTCTACACTTCCTATTTTTTTACCATCCTATTTAAATATTGATTATCTGCTCTCTTAACACACACACACTTATAATAGTGTGATAGCAGAATTTTTTTAGGTTTTCCTACTTTTCCAATTTATTTTTAAAGGGGTAGCTTTGTATGCATTTAGAATACATGCCTACTTTGTATTTGACAGGTAGTTTAAATCTGATGGGGATGTTCTGCAGTTATTTGAGGTAGTTTGGTGTTCTAGAAAAGGCCATTACTATGGGTAGTGTCTAGAGGGGTCCTTTTTGCCCTCTAGGCACACAATGAATGTTATCTGATGAATAGTTAAGGAGCAAATAAGAAATGGCTTTATATTCCCCCTTAGACTCTTTTGGAGTAATTTTGAGTCTTGATGAGAAATCACTGAGTAGGTCCTTAAGATACAGGACAGAGGAAGCTTCCCAGCAGCTTACCTTCCTTTAGCTTGCCAAGTTTACCTTCACCCTAGCTTTGGAAGTAAATTCTAGTCCTTTAGTTCTCATTTGTTATGAACATGTTAAAGACTAGACTGAAATATTGCCAACGACATTGTTTTTATGAGACTTGTTCCTACTTCTGTATGCTGAAAATTAACCCCAGATAGTATGTAGAATATTGTAAGGTCATGAATTAGCTGGTTAAGTGATCAGATTAATAAATGTATATTGGTAGTTGAATTTAACAAAGAAATAGATCATCATGATTATACCTTTATTTTTACAGGAAGAGATATAACTAGAATATGTGTCTACAGGAATAATAATGGTTTCCAAAGAGTATTTTTTAAAGAAACAAAATAAGCATGAATTCACTCTTCAGTATAAGCTATGAGTAGTTGGTTGTGAATTATAGTGCACCAGCTAGCACCTCTATGATTTAAGGGTCTTGTAATGTTTCTAGAATAAACCCTTATTTTCAAGGGTTTATAACAGACATATGATCTCTTTTCCTGGCTAAAGCTGCTATGAAAAGCCTCAGCTTGGGAAGACAGATTTTGTAATTGAAAAAAAATTCTAAGTATTTTGGCCCTTCAATTTGGAGGAGTACAAAAGTTGGAAGTTAGAAGTTTTATTTTAAGTACTTTCAGTGCTCAAAAAATGCAATCACTGTGTTGTATTAATGGTTCTTAGGTCAGTCATTCATAATAATTGACTAAGAAGTAAACAGCAGAAAGATTAAGCCTTGAATTAAGTCTGGGGGAAATGGCCATTGTGCAGATGCATCAACTTTTAGAGCAATAATGAAATTCTACCTAGAATGGGAAATTGAATATATGGATGATACTGCATGTTGTTTTTGTTTTTTTAATGTGCAGAAGATTAAAGCTACTTGGAAGGAGTACCTATAAATTTGCCAGTAGGCCACCAATTAAGATCACATTTTATATATCAGCAGAGTAGCTTTAGCTTAGGGGGAGAGGGAGGGGGGCATTGTGAAGATTTAGTGGGGCTTTGGTAGAGAACTTTGTAAACTTCTTTCTCTTCAGTAAAGACTTGTCTTACATCTTGCTGTCATTAAAGGCAGTTGTTCCTAAAATTTCATTCACTTCAGTACACCCACCAAACCAGAATACGGAGATCTTCATTTCCCCTCGACTCTAACTTGCCCAGTTGTACCTCAGTGTTGGGGCAGCACCATGGGGCCTGTACTGTGCTCTGCTCTCACTGTGCCCTCTGCACTGGCCTGAAGGAGACCTAAGGGTTCTTCTCTTTTTGAGTCTGAATCACAGCCTCAATGTGGTCTTTCTTGTTTTATGTCCTTGTTCCTAATGTAAACGTCTTTAACTGCTTCTCGGTTGTATTGGGTAGCATTGGGATAAGATTTTAACTGGGTATTCTTGAATTGCTTTTACAATAAACCAATTTTATAATCTTTAAATTTATCAGCTTTTTACATTTGCATTCTTTACAGATACGGCTTCTTAGATCTACTTATGGTTGATGGAGCACATTGATTTGGAGTTTTAGATCTTGCAAAAGCACTAATTGTTGTAATAACTTTTCTAAATACAGTGCCTTTAAAAAAAAAAAAGAAATGAACATAAGGAAGTAACTGATACAAATAATGTTGCTGTTTGAAGTATTTGTATTAAATAAACAGATTCTATATGGAACATGGCAGAAAAACTGAAAAATAAGTGATTAATTGTGTAATTCAGAATTTATACCAATCAGTGTTGAAACAAACAATGCAAAAGTGAGAAGCAATATCCAATGGTTAACAATTTTGTAGTTTTTGTACATCTGAGAAATGAGTGCTCAGAAGAATTTTAGCTTTGCAAGCATGTTTTTTCTAAGAATTGGGGGTGTGCCTATCTTAACAATTGTTTTCTGTATCTTGAAAAAGTATTCTCCACATTTAAATGTTTTATATTAGAGAATTCTTTAATGCACACTTGTCAAATATATATATATAGTACCAATGTTACCTTTTTATTTTTTGTTTTAGATGTAAGAGCATGCTCATATGTTAGGTACTTAACAAATTGTTACATTTTTTTCTTATGTAATGCCTTTTTGTTTATGTGGTTCAAATATATTCTTTCCTTAAACTCTGTTGTTCTTAGCAATTGATAATATTTTAAGCCCTTTTTTTTTGTTTTGACTTATTCATGGTCTTCCAATAGAACAAATACTGGAAGTAAAAAGTGATTACAGTAATGATTGATAGACAGATTAAACTTAGACCTCACTTGGAACTTTTGAAGCATGGATATAATTCTTTGAACCTTATGTTCTGTACTCTTCCCATCAACAGCAGGATCTAAGCAAAATTATTTGTTCCTTTTTTTTTTTAAATGAGATGGTCACCTTATTACAGTCATCCCTCCTGAGCTTCCCAGCGTGGGCTGCCCATTGGTCCCCATCCCCCAACCCCTAGCTCTTTCATGGCAGCCTTGGCCATGTTGCTGAGATCACAGGCACATGCCACCACATCCAGCTTTTAGGTTGGTTGAGCTGGAATCGAACCTGGGCTTCCCACGTAGTCCCAGCCTGCTTAGCACAGCATTGTAGCACATGTGCTTACATGTCTGGGCCTGCTTTATTATTAAACAACTTTCTTACTGCTGTAGTAACAGTACAGAGGAAACTAGTATGTGACTATGTGTTTTTTCATGGCCTTTGGTTTTATTTCTACGAAATATTCTCCCATGGCTCCAAAATTTTTCACTTACATGGTGAAAAATACAATGTAGTATTTTATAAATTGATATGTTCACACATTTAAATGGTAGGGGCCTGATGGCAGCACAGTTGCAAAATGCTATTCCCCATAAGGCCGACCTTATGGGAAGGTTCCGGGTCCACATCAAGAGAGCTGAAGTACGCTGGGCCTGTGCGTGTGCATGTGGCTGGCTGGGGCTGCAGGTGGAGCTTGGCATCAGGACTCTGGGAGATGCTGTCTCTCACTTGTCCTAGTCATGGGAGAAGTACATTTAAGCAGTAGGTCCTGAACTTTGAATAAGCAGATTTTACTGTCTGAAAATGATGTCCTTGTGTGTGTATGTGTTAGTGACACATCCCTTTTGGTGAGGCAAATCTGAACTTACGTTGCTATCTGCAAAATTTCTTACATTAGAAGAACACTCATTTTGTGGAGTTTCAAGCTGATCATTTACCTTATCTAGTATAAAACACAGTTGTCTATCTTAACTAGAAGCCTGTACATTGTAGACACTGCACTCTTAGGACCTCGTTCCACGGAGGTAGCGCTCGTGTGGGGTGCCTTCAGGTTCAGTGCTGGGAGTGCTTTATCCTGGAGTCTGACCGCCAGAATCGTACAACCTTAAGTAAACTCAGTCTGATTTAGCAGAAAACTCAGAAATATGTTTGGATTTGGGAAGAATAGTCTCTAATGAGAAAGAAGAGGAGCCTTTCATATACTGGGGGAGTAGGGCAGCCTTAGGGGAACCTGACACATTCTTCCAGAGGGAGAGAGAGAACTAGGAATAAAAGGAGATCTGGGTTGTTAGTACAGGAGTGATTGCTAGACTGGTAGGTTAGGATTTTCATTTCTTGACAACTGAGGTTGTAAAAGAGCAGCAGCTCCATGGTACCCATCACACTGTCTTACCTTCTCTAATATCCACCCCCTCCCTGGTCCTAGCAGTTGCAGGTTACCCTGGACCTGGACGTGCAGCGGGATCAGGTAAGTTCCCTGCTGTTCTTTGCGCTCATGCTGTTGGAGTCCGCAGAGGCTCGGGCAGGGTGTCCCGTGTCCTCCTCCTCCCACCTAAAACCTCTGGTGCTTCGTCTCTTCATTTTAGTTTTGAGGAACTTATGAGCAAGCCTGAATTACTGAATTATAAACCACATGGAAACTCTGTGATGTTTAGTACCACGGCTTTTCCAAATCCCATGTGGAGTATGTTTTTGCTAGACTGAATACAGAAAATTCTGATATAAGTTAATTTTTAACTATAAACAGAACCTTAAACTGGCGGAGTTAATACTGCTTCACAAATGAAAACATTTACAGAATCTAGACATTAACCAAACAAGATAGTAATTGGAAAAAATACTCTGGATTTCAAACTGTCCACATTTTAACAGAAAACAAAACTGCTAAATTAAGTGATTTCTTTTTTTTTAATAAAGATTTTTGTTACAGGATATGTGCGCTTACTAGAGAGAGACTGAAAGTGAGAATCACCCCCTGGGGGATGGCCATACTGCACTCCCTTCATTCTCTTGGGATTTGGGGCACGCATGCACAGGAGCCTGGTGTGATTTCAAGCTGAGGGGTCTGGGACTCAAACCACGGTTGACCATGTGGGAGTCCAGCAATGTAACCATTATGTCATCTGTTGGTCTCAACTAAGTGACTTCTAAGCTGCTATGACCCTAACAGAAGTTTAAAAAACAAAACAAAACAAAAAAACTAGAGCCAGCAGGTGGTGTACTGGTTAAAGCAACCTGATCTCACGTGGCTAACTGTGGGGATTGAGTCCCAGACCTCGTTGCTTAAAAAACACACTGAGTGGGTCAGCAGATGGTGTAGCTAGTGGACATGTTGCTAATTCCCACATGACCGACCTTGCTTTGATCACCAGACCTGGAGGCTTGAAACTCAAGCCGGGCTTGTGTGTGTGCATGCTCAAGATACTGGGAGGAGAATATGTAGAAGTGATTGCAGTGTGGCCATCCCTGCTGGGGGATGATTTCCCACTTTTCTTGTCACTGTCTCTGGCGAACATACATGCCCTAAAGCAAAAAAAAAAAATCTCTTAAAAAACGCGCTGGGTTTGTGCACGTGTGTCCAACATACTAGAGAAGGGATTGTGATATGGTCATCCCCATCTTTCCCTCTGCCTCAAACAAGGGCAAGCTGAGGACAGGAATGTCAAGAGCAAGGCCAAGGGAAGGCAGCAGAGGCCAAGGGCAGTGAAGTCAAGGGAAGCCAAGACCAAGGAGCAGGGAAGGCAAGGGAGATCAAGCCATGGTCAAGGTTAAGTTAAAAGCCAAGACCATGGTCAAGGTGATGATGAACGGCAAGAGAAGGTAGGGTCAAGGCCAAGTGTAAGAGTGTGGAAGACAAGTGAGGTCGAGGCCGTGTTTAAAGTCAAGGCCATGGTCAAGTTCAAGAGCATGAGTGAAGGCAAGTCCATGTTCAAGTTCATGGTCAAGTTCAAGAGCCTGAGAGGTCAAAGCCATGTTCAAGGTCAAGTTCATTGTCAAAGTCAAGACCACGGGTATGGCAGGCATGAGAAGTCAAGGCCAAGGACAGTCAAGTCCCCATAACTATTGACCAATAATTGTCTTTTCCCTATTTAGTAGTCTTGTTACCATTCCAAAAAATTGTTTTAGAATTAGTATTTAATTTTTGTTGTGATTTTCAAGCCTCCAGTACCAGGACTCAAACCACAATCAGCCATGTGGAAATCCAGAGCTCCAACCACCATGCCATCAGCTGGCTTTGTCAAAAATGATTTAATTTCTTCAAGTTCATGGGAAATGATTATGAAAAAAAAATGCATAAATTTCCATGTTTTTTTTTAGAATTTTTATTAACTCCGTTTATTTTAATTTGGCCAGAGAGGGACAGAGAGAGAGGGAAAGTGAGAAAGCAAGCTAGGACTCGAACTGTGGTTGACCATATGCGAGTCCAGTGCCCTTAACCATCATGCTACCTGCTAGCCTCATAAATTTCTGTTTTACTACACCAAAAGTCATAATTTCATTTTTCTACAAACTTTTAAAATTCATCTCATTTGTGAGTTTTTCTATTCTACTCTATTGGTCTGTTTGTCTTCATGCCAAAATCACACTGAAATGAATTTGGAAATGAAGTGGAAGTACAAGCCCTCCAATTTATTCAATATTGAGTTGGCAGAGGTCCCTAATATCATATGCATTTTAGGGTGGGTTTTTCTATTTTTGTAAAAAATCATTGCAGTGGCCACAAGATGGCGTGTTGGTTAAGGCACTGGATTCTAGTTCCTAGATTGTATAAGCATATTAAGTAATAAGGAAAAAAAAATCACTCCTTAAATAGTTAAACAGCATTCTCCGATTAATATGATATATTTTTATATTCACATTCTTTAATTTTATGATTATGAGTTTCATAAGACATTTCTCTACATTGACTGAGTTGGTTCTCTATGACAACATAGAATAATGAATCTTTGGGAACTAGCAGGTGGCATGTAGTTAAGGCACTGGACACTCCCATAGGGTTGACCATGGTTCAAGTCCCTGACCTGGTGGCTTGTTTTCTCACTTTCCCTCTGTCTCTAGTCAAATTAAAATAAATGAATAAATAAAATTTAAAAATCCTTAAAGAAGAGGAAACATAGTCTTAACCTAAACATTTAAATATTAGATATTGCAGTTGCCTTTCTGTACAATGAACAACATATTTAGATGGTGGTGGTGGTGATGTTGGCGAAGAGGAAGGAACAGCAGCACTGTCTTATAGGAAAACAAAAGTGTGGGATCAGCAGTTAGCGTAATGGCTATGTTGCTGGACTCCCACGTAGTCAACCGCGGTTCGCGTCCCGGACCCGGTGGCTTAAACTCACGCCAGGCACGTGTGCATGCGTGCCCAAGATCCCAAGAGGAGAATGGAGGAGAAGGGATTGCGGCATGACCATCCCCCCTGGGGGGTGATTTCTTACTTTCTCTTTGTCTCTCTCTTGTCTGTCTGGCGAGTGCATGCGCCCTATAGCAAAAACCTCTCCAAAAAAATAGAGAAAGAAAGAATTCCTTGCAAAAGTGTTAGCCCTAACAATGAAATGCTTAGTAGGATTAGACAGTAAAAACTCAGTACAAGAATAGGGAATTCTTCAGGCTCTGTTTTTAGGATAGACACTGTCTCACTGCAGAAAGTAAGGAATGGAAAACAATGAACTCACTGTGAACTTATGTGCAAGAGGCAAAAGGAAGCAGAAGTAATTTCTTACCAAAGCTAAGTGTAAGAAAGCCCAACATAGGGCTACTAAAAGATAGTAGAAAAAGGCGTGGAAGAAAATATAGACTAGATTTTATACAGAAAATGTTCTTCCCTGTTTCATTTCTCTTCTACATAATCGTGTGTAGAAGTTTAGTT